GTCTCCATTTTATATAGCTGTATCAGCATTGTGATTAACATCTCATACCCCAGAAGATCACCTGTTGCCCAGACAATATTCAGCAAGATATATATACTGCTGATTTGCTTTTTTAAAAAAAATTTGAACATTTTCCCTCTAGATTTTTCTTTTTTTCCTTCTTTTCTTTCTTTATTTTTCTAATTTAAATATAATTTTCCATTGTTGCCTTCTTTAACGATTAGAACTTCATTTTTACTAGTGTTTCTACCCCTATTGTCCACCCCCCCCTCCAATTTTATCCCGTAAAGTTTTCTGTTTGCTTGTTTTGCTTTGATTTACAGCAATTTTGTCCTTCCTCTCTATTGGTGGAGGTGGGGCACTGTGTCAGAACAGGATGGCAAACAGCTGCTGACTTCAAGGGAACCACCCAACCTGGTACCCCAAGAGGTTGGGGGTTTTTAAGATTGGGTCAAAGTACCCTACTGTATACATATATACATATATTGCTCTTGTCTCCCTCTTTCTCTGCCTGTCTTCTTTTTGTCAATATTCCCTTTTACTCACCCCCCTCCTTTCTCTTTTTTCTTTTCTTTTCTTTTTTTTTTTTTCAAATCTTTTTTCCCTTCTTGCTCTTCAGTCATCTCACCTTCTGGTACTGTACCAAAAGGACTCAACGAAACCCTAGGCCAGAGGCACAATAACTTTAAGAGCAAGAGGAAGTGAAAGGAAAATTAGGGAACAGAAACAGAGAAAAGAAAACACTCATAAGGAAGAATCAGCAGAAAAATCCTGGCAACATGAAAAACCAGTCCAGAGCACCCCCCATGGGATTGTTAGGTAGCTACTGCAGAGGATTCTACCTATAAAGAAATGTTAGAAATGACAGAAGGGGAATTTAGAATACAAATGATGAAAACAATGAAGGAAATGGTGGAAACAATGAAGGAAACTACTGATAAAGTGGAAAATAACCAAGAGTAAATCCAATAACAGAATAAGAGATGAACAATGTGAAGAACTCAGAAAGGATATAGCAGAGCTGAAGGAACTGAAGCAGTCAATTAGGGAACTTAAAGATGCAATAGAAGTATCAACAGCAGATTAGACCATGCAGAAGAAAGAATCTCAGAGGTAGAGGACAAAGCTCTTGAGATAACTCAATTAGTTAAAGAGGCAGAAAAGAAGAGAGAGAAAGCAGAACATTCACTGACAGAATTATGGGACTTTATGAAGTGTTCAAACATAGAAGTTATAGGCATCCCAGAAGGGGAAGAAGAATGCCCCAGAGGAATGGAAGCCATACATTTTCATATTATAAATGAAAATTTCCCAAATATCACTAAAGATTCTGACACACTCCTTTCAGAGGGATATCGGACTCCAGGTCACCTCAACAATAACAGAGCTTCTCCTAGACATACTGTGATGAACCTGTCCAAAGTCAAGACAAAAGAAAAGATTTTGCAAGCTGCCAGGAGTAAGTACCAGTTGACCTACAGGGCAAAATCCATCAGGGTAACTGCAGACTTCTCTAATGAAACTTTTCAAGCAGAGAGCAATGGCCATATACCTTCAATCTACTTAAACAGAACAATTTCCAGCCCAGAATTCTATA